CTCGTAGTAAATAACTGAGTAGCACCAGCTACAGAGATAACCCGCTAATTGTTCTGCTCCCTGTGTGTCCCTTATGGATTTTACTTTTGCTTTTGCCAGGTAAGGCAGAAATTGCTCTTACCATGTTTCTCACATATAATTTGCACTACAATTTCCTGCTGCTGTTTTTTTGGGAAAAGGTGTATGCAGTATACAAGAAAATATATTAGAAAAATCAGAGTAGAATGCATCCAGAAAACAGAAAAAAATTACCTTCAAAATAAATAAATAATCTAATCAAAATATTTCCTTAAAAATGAAGGTATGACTAAGAAAGTCAGAGGTATCAATTTTATTATAAAATATTATTTAAGACAGGGCTGTCCAACCAACGGCCTGTGAGCTACATGCAACCTCCAAGGCTAGGGCCAGAAATTACACATAAAGTTGTATAACGGATCGAAAAACAGTTCAACTCTGCAACACAAGAGAAGTTCAGTGCACATAACCACTTTCAAAATGGCCAAAACTGGTTTAAGATAAACCTGGATGGATGTAGTTTTACACTTAACTAATTTAAGTTAAATCAGTTTACTGAACTTCTGTCCCAGATCCCCTTCAGATTCAAGTTAACTGACAGTTCCCCAGCATCCCAGGATGCTTTGCACCTCTCCCATAACACTCCCCCCCTTGCAGGGTGGGTGGGCTAGCCATGGCAGAAGCTGTCTGCTCCAGCTGAGCAGGGAGGTATGCTCCAGCACACCCCCTCCCCCCAGCTTCTGGCTAGCCTGGGCCACTGCAGCCCTGTGGCTGCATTTCCAAAATCAAAAGTAAATGTCTGTTTACTTGCTTATCAGCAGCTTAAATTAACTTGAGAAGATTGAACAGATTAAGCTTTGGGCTTTTTGACTGTCTGTACGTAGCCAAAGGTGTTAAACTACAGCTCCCAGTCTGGGCATCACTCCCCTTATCACTCTTCTGTTGCTAGAGTTTTCAGGCTCCCCCTCCTTCCTCCAGCTTCTGCTGTCTGCTCCTGTCCCTGGGGATATCATGGAACCACCCAAAGGGCTGAGGGAGCCTATGGCCAAAGAGCTCAGGAGAACCTGTGGTGGCAGGGTAGGGCAGTGCAGGGGAAGGTGGGGAAATGTGTCATGTGACAGGGAGACCCATGTGATAGCAGGGAGCTCAGAGGGCATGTGAGTCCATATGGTATGTGGCAGGAGAGACTGCAGCCCCTGGCCACTCAGAAATTGGAAAATCCTGGTTTAAGATGATAAAATTATGTCAGATTCAGATTAACAGAATAATGTTATTTAAAAAGGGTTAACAGGCTGACCATGAAATTCAAGACCTGTTAGCCTGACATGGATCCCAGGCAAAACAACTGAACAACTGATGTAGGACTTGATTAATCAAAAATTAAAAGTAGGGTAATATAATTAATGACAAATCAACAAGGTTTTGTCAAATTAATTTGATATCTTTTTGTCTGATCAAGTTACATGTCAAAGCAATACACTTAAAATTTATGCAAGACAGTTCATTTAGAACTGCAAAACATTTTGATTGAGAAGTTGAATAATGCAAAAAAAAAAAAAATCAATATGGCGTACACTGAACAGACTGAAAACTGGCTGTAACAAAAGGACTCAAAATATAATTGTAAATGGAGGGCCACCATCAAGTTTTCTAATGGGGTTCCATTAGAACCTGCTCTTCATCCCGTGTTACTTAAAACTGCTTGAAAGACAACATAGAAACATAAGGTTGCAAGGGACAGACATGATGGGTCAACCCCCCTACAGGAATATAGGAATGCTGTTCTTTAAGTGTCCCTATCAAAAGCTTATGTAGTACGTTGGTAGGTGTATACTACCAAGTCTGTTTCACATACCTCACTGACCAAGGACAACAAAAAGCTGTTACATTTTAATAACTCCCATTCAAGTGGCAGGATTGCAAAACAATGAGGATGCAATGGAGAGGAAACAAAAGCACATAAAAGCTTTTATAAACACAAGGCCTCCCCTCACTACCTCCTGTTAACTGCAGGAACAACAGAGAAAGACAGAAACTAGGGGGGGGAAAGTCATGTGCAACAAGGGAGTGATCCTGAACTCCTTAGAGGACTATAACCAATTCCTAAAGAAGGTTCAAGAGTAGTAAAGAAACTGAGACAGGGAAACGTGTGCAGACACTTACTAGATTTTACATTACTTACCATAACTAATGTAAAGGTTGCTGGCAACACAAAAGGATTAAATTTGATGACCTAGGACAATAGGGGGGTGGGGGGGTGGAGGGTCAACTTTTTTTGGTTAGCCCCATAACCCTCGCAAGTGCTACTCTGATCCTCTTAACCTGCCCAATCTATTTATCTCCTTTCTGCTCACTTTCATATCCTCTGCTGTGTTCTCTACTCCCTCCCCAATTTCCCACAAGTCACACACAAAGACTGTCTTTGCCACTTGTGGCATACATCCCACAGGTTAGCCACCCTGACTTAGAATATCAACTTCTACTTCTGATAGTCTTAAGTGATGTTGTAGAAATGATGGTCCAGGAAATATGCAACACGCAAGGATTTTCAAGATAGGTGATATCTCTTATTGGACCAGCTGCATGGTGGGGATATACTTAAGACCTGAAGAAGAATGCATTGCCTTCAAAAGCTTGTCTACGTCTATACTCACAATGCAACTGGTCCAATTAAAGATATGACCCATAAAACTCCTTCCCTCTCACAACCTCTTGCATTTATTAAGGGCACTTATTTTTTAAACAAAGTCTAAGTATTTATCTACTTCAGTTATCACATTCCTTGTAGAGGTAAACTATAAACTCAGATTTACTGTATACTACATGAGTTGTTGGCCATGACTGACAAGTATACTAGCAAACATTCTCAGATGGACACAATTATGCTATGTTGGCTTAGTCTCTGTTGTCCAGGAAAGTGGCGGAGCAATGCTGACAAGAAACTCCTTCTCTTGACATATACATCTACTGTAAGGAGGCTTTCCCAGCTTGTCTGTAGTATAAACAAGACCTCAGACTATCTGTAAGATTGGAACTCTGGGAAAAGGTTATGCTTATGCTGTTGGATATTCCAAAGGATTAGCACAGGCCCCAACAGTTAAAGGAAGGTTGGTTGCAAGATCCCATTTCAATAAATGGATAAACAGAGACTCTTTAACCAGAAAATGTGCCAGATAGAGAAAACCAATTCTGCAATCTACAACCTTATGAGCATAGGTTCCAAACACAGCAATCTGATGAGTGTCCAGCTGGGGAAAATTTCCCATGGCTGTGACAGGCAGTTCTGCTAGTATATAGTATGCTTTTCTGGCACACACATCAAGTAAGAAATCAAATTTTATCAGTGTTCTGACACAAGCAGGCTGGCAAATGTGTAAACATAGCCTTATAGAGAGCCATCCTGGATCACTCTGCAAACTGGACAGAAGGAAATGATATGCATTTCAGTACAAACAAGTATCTAAATACAGAGACTGAAGACCATGCATACAATATGGGGAGCTATCCTAGGAAGTGGTGTCAAAATGATTTGATGACGAGTGTGAATGTAAGCACTCAGCATAATATTGTGGTGAAAACAGGATGAATAAATAGGACAATAACGACTAGAAGTAGAGAGGAGTTATTGCATCAATGCTTTGTACTGATATAATTGCTACAGAAATACTGTATCTAGTCCTGGTGTCCATAATTCAAGCATACTGCAAAATTGAGCCAGGTCCAAAGAAGAGGCACAAGAATGCTTAAACACTTCAAAACATGCGCTAGGGTGAAAAGCTTAAAGGAGATGATCTATTTAGTTTGTACAAGAGAAAGTTAAGGAGTGATTTGGTGAGTCTATAAATACCTATATGAGTAATAGCAGTTTGGTAAGAGGACTCTTTAGTCTAGCACACAAAGGTAGCACAAGGTTCAGTTTTGGAACCTGATACTATTTATTTATTTATTTATACTACATTTATATTCCACCCAATTCAAAAGGCTTAGAATGGCTAGACAGAGTTATATTAACACTGGGAGTGATTAAAACCATCAGAACAAGTTACTGTATCTACAATCTGTTTTGAGAGCATTGCTGATACCAGTAGTTAAATGCTGTGTTACAGTTATGGTAGGCTGAGGTAAGGACTTTGAGCATTTGCTCTATTTGTGGTCTAGATGTTGCTGCTAAGCATTTCCCCAAAGAGATGAAGTTACAAAATGTTCCCAGTTACTGATAAAAGGAACTTGCTCATTATTCTATGGATAACAAATGAGGGGATAGGGGAATTCAATCTTTCATACATACAAGCTACGTACAACAGTTATGTTCACAATTCCTGCTGCAAAATAGATCTCTCTACACCCAAAAATAAAATAAGTTAACAAAAAAATAACAATTCACATCAGTAAGATTTCCCTATATAGTAAACAATATTAAAATGGTAAACCAGCATAAACATACATTTATTTAACCACATGCTTTTATACAGCACCCATTATCATAGTATCAATGCTTCCCAGGTAAGTTAGATTGTTATAGAGCATAGGTGGCCAACCTGCAACACACATGCCACAAGTGGCGTGTGAGACCTCAATGCTCAAGTAAAGGAAGGTGCCAGAATGGAGGCAGGGAGTGGAAAGTACTGAGATGTGGCATCAGATTTCACCACCAAGCATCAGGTTAACCCTTCCTGGGCCCTACGGCTGCTGCGAACTTCAGAGCTTGAGATCCTTGCTTGCTATATAAAACTGTGGTGGTTACAGAGCTAGGGAAAGGTTAAACTGCTCCACTCCAAGGTAGAGCCCCACAGGGTGCAAACTCTATGCCTCTCAGGGGTGTGGATGAGAGCAGCTCTCAGGAAAGGGGCAAGATTTATCTTGTATTATGCCTGCCAAAACTGCTGTCCATCGCTAGTATAGTGTGTTCATATTGTTATAGTTATAAAGCTGATTTCCACCAATATAATGTTGTACTTAGAAAAAATTAATTAGTAACTTACAGACATTCCCTGTGTTGTCAAAACTTGTAAGAACATCTTCCACATTTAAAAGTCCATCGTTCAATCTACAAGACAACAGAATTTTTTATTTCATCAAGTAACAAAATGTGTTTTCAGTACTCTTTTGAAAGGATATTTAGTCAACACCAAATCTATTTTTCTGACAATTTTCTGTCAAAACCTTTCATAAATATATAAAAACAGATACTATTTTAGCCACTAGAGGGAGGATAAAGAAATAACCAACAGTAGTCTAAAAATTAGGTGTGAGAATTCAGAACTTTGGAAATTGTTTTAAAACAAGTATTTGCAACACTAAACATTATTTTAAAAAGAGAGTTTTGCTTAAGTTGAACGTGTAAAGGAAAATTTTTGAGAAAAAAATTAACCAACTCCTAAATAGCAACTGCAAAAGATTTTTTTTATTATGATTAGTTTTGTATATTCATAACAATGAATAGGATTATAAGTGCTTTATTTATATGTTAATGTTAACAATATAACGGACTAATGTATCCAACTGATTAATCAGTTTCTTTGGTTGTCCACTGGTGTAACCCAGTTAAAATAAATATCACATAATTAAAATTACATAGCATATCAAGCAAGCCTCAGAGATCAAGATAAAACACGTCATATATTTAAAGCACATATTACAGTTTAACAAGTCACTAAGATCCACAAAAATCTGTATATAAATTCAATAGGAAATGGTTCCCAAAACATCCTACTAGTTTAAATGCTAGAGCCTTCAACCAGGATTCACAAATAACTGTCAGAATTTGTTTAGATTAATTCGGATGCCTCTCAGATTATTCAAAAACAAATAACTAAAAATAACCCACCAGCACAAGATTTCAATGGAGACAGGAACTTTGACACCAAAAATACAGGCCTCTACCACTTTATTTGAAAGAATAATTCCATTAT